GAGGTTGCAGTGAGCTGAGATTGCACCGTTGCTCTCCAGCCCGGGGTGACTCTGTCTCTAAACAAGAAAACAAATGAGAACTCGGAGGCTCAGCGACGTTAGAGACTTACCTGAGGCGCACAACTAGAAAGTAGAAAAATTTGATTTTGAATCCAGGCTGGTCAGACTGTAAAACTCACAGTCCTGCCATGTTGCCAGGCTGGTTTTTTCTTTGTTTGCTTTAACTTTATTTATTTATTTATTTTTAAGAAATAGGATCTTGTTATGTTGCCCAGGTTGTTCTTAAACTCCTGGGCTCAAGCAATCCTCTTACCTCAGCTTCTCAAGCAGCTGAAACAACAGGCACGTGCCATCAAGCCAAGCTTCTTTAACGTTTTCTTAAAAAATTGAGGTAATTACATTACTTAGAGTTGTCAACATTTTAAAGGATATAATTCAGTGGCATTTAGTACATTCAGAGTGTTGTGACACCGTCATCTCTATCTAGTTTGAAACATTTTCATCACTCTCCAAGGGGGTCTCTGTTTCCATTAAGCATTTTCCTCTCCTCTTAGCCCCTGGGAACCATTTACTTTCTGTTTCTGTAAATATACCTATGCAGGATATTTTATATAAATGGAATCATACAATATGTGGCCTTTTGTGTCTGGTGTCTTTCACTTGGTATAATGTTTTCTTTTTTTTTTTTTTCCAAGACGGAGTCTCACTCTGTCGCCCAGGCTGGAGTGCAGTGGCACAATCTCGGGTCACTGCAACTTCCACCTCCCGGGTTCAAGTGATTCTCCTGCCTCAGCCTCCTGAGTAGCTGGGATTACAAGTGTGGTGCCACCACACTCAGCTTATTTTTGTATTTTTAGTAGAGATGGGGTCTCACCGTGTTGACGAGCCTGGTCTCGAATTCCTGACCTCAGATGATCCGCCTGCCTCGGCCTCCCAAAGTGCTGGGATTACAGGTGTGAGCCACCACGCCCAGCCAGAATAATGTTTTTAAGGTCCATTCATGTTGTAGCATGAATCAGTACTTCCTTCCTCTTTATGACGGGATACCATTCCATTGTACGATTATGCCACATTTTCTTGACCCATTTATCAGATTAAATGGGTTTCCATCGTTTAAGCCGTTTCCACCTTTTGGCTGTTAAGAACAGTGCTGCTGTCAACATTTGTGTACAAGTATTTGTTTGAGTCTTTGTTTCATTTTCTTTCTTTCTTTCTTTCCTTCTTTTTTTGAGACAAAGTGACAAAGTTGCTCTGTTGCCCAAGCTAGAGTACAGTGACCCAATCTTGGCTCACTGGCAACCCTGCCTCCAGGTCAAACAATTCTCATGCCTCAGCCTCCCCCAGTAGCTGAGACTACAGGCGCGCCACCACGCCTGGCTAAGTTTTTTGGATTTTTTTAGTAGAGACGGGATTTCACCATGTTGGTCAGGTTGATTTCGAACCTTGACCTCAAAGCAATCCGCCTGCCTCGGCCTCCCAAAGTGCTGGGATTAGAAGCCCAGCAAAGTCTTTGTTTTCTTTTTTTTTTTTTTTTTTTTTTTTTTTGAGACGGAGTCTCGCTCTGCCGCCGGCTTGGAGGCAGTGGGCCCGATCTCAGCTCTCACTGCAAGCTCCACCTCCCGGGTTCACGCCGTTCTCCTGCCTCAGCCTTCCGAGTAGCTGGGAACTACAGGCGCCCGCACGAGCCCGGCTAGTTTTTTGTATTTTTAGTGAGCGGGGTTTCACCGTGTTCGCCAGGATGGTCTTGATCTCCTGACCTCGTGATCCACCGTCTCGGCCTCCCAAAGTGGGCGATTACAGGGCTTGAGCCACCGCGCCCGGCCAGTCTTTGTTTTCAATTCTTTTTTGTTTGTTTTTGAGACCGGAGTCTCACTCTGTGTCCAGGGCTGGAAGTGCAGTGGTGCAATCTAGGCTCACTGCAATCTCTGCCACCTGGGTTCAAGTGATTCTCCGTGTCCCAGCCTCCCGAGTAGCTGGGATTACAGGCTCCCGCCACCCCACCCTGGCTAATTTTTTTGTAATTTTAGTAGAGACGGGGTTTCACTATCTTGGCCAGGCTGGTCTGAAACTCCCGACTTCGTGATCCACCTGCCTGGCCTCCAAGTGCTGGGATTAGCAGGTGTGAGCCACTGCGCCCGGCCGTGTTTTCAGTGTTGGATATATACCTAGGATTGGAATTGCAGGGCCATATGGTAATTTTATGTTTAACCTTGGAGGAACTGCCAAACTGTGTTCCACGTGGGCTGCTTATTTCACATTCCCAGCAATGCATGAGGCTTCAATCTCTCCACCAACATTTGTTATTTCCTCTCTCTCTCTTTTTAAAATTATAGCCATCTTTAGTGGGTATGAACTGGTATCTTATGGTGGCTTCAATCTATATTTTCCTAATGACTTGTAATGTTGACCTTTTTTTTTTTCTTTCCCAAGAGGAGTCTCGCTCTGTCACCCAGGCTGGAGTCGCAGTGGCACGATCTCAGCTCACTGCAACCTCCTCCTCCTGGGTTCAAGAAGCCTCCTAAGTAGTTGGATTACAGGCACATGCTACCGCCCAGCTAATTTTTGTATTTTTAGTAGATATGGAGTTTTTTTTTTTTTAGAGGCAAAGTCTGGCTTCTGTCCGCCCAGGCCTGGAGTACAGTGGCGCGATCTCGGCTCACTGCAACCCCGCCTCCCGGGTTCACACCATTCTCCTGCCTCAGCCTTCGAGTAGCTGGGACTACAGGCGCCCCACCACACGGCTCCGGGGTAATTTTTTGTATTTTTAGTAGAAACAGGGTTTCTCCATGTTTGCCAGGATGGTCTTGATCTCCTGACCTTGTGATCCACCGGCCTTGGCCTCCCAAAGTGCTGGAATTACAGGCGTGAGCCACCGCACTCGGCCATGGAGTTTCACTATGTTGGCCAGGCTGGTCTCGAACTCCTGACCTTGTGATCCGCCCACCCGAGCCTCCTAAAGTGCGGGGATTACAGGCGTGAGCTACTGTGCCTGGCCTGAACATCTTTTTATGTGCTTGTTGGTCATCTGTATATCTTCAGATAAATGTCTGTTCAACTCCTTGCCCCATTTTTGTTCCCCTGATGTATTTTTTTCAGTGGTGGAGTCTTGCTCTGTTGTCCAAGCTGGAGAGCAGTGGCAGGATCATAGCTCACTGCGGCCTCAACCTCCCAGGCTCAAGTGATCCTCCCACCTCAGCGTCCAGAGTAGCTGGGACTACAAGTCGATGCCACTATGCCTGGCTCTTCACCCATTTTTAAATTGGTTTTGTCATTTTATGCTTTAACTTTTTGTTTAGATATAATTTATAACTTATAGAAAGTTTATCATATAGTACAAAGAAACCCTTATAATTTTTACCCAGATTCATCTATTATTAATATTTGCCCCATTTGCTTTCTTACTATACATGTCTAATATTTTTTCCTGAACCGTTTGAGAATGAGGGGCATACATCATGCCCCGTGCCCCTAGATACTTCAGATAAGGATATTTACTTATTTACTTACATAACCGTAGTTCACAGACGCTGATATGCTATGTTTTCCTGATCCAATTTTATCAATTGATCCAGTACAGGAGCGAGGCTGGGATCCTGTGCTACCCTTAATTGTCTTATTGTCTTGTCTCTTTTGTCTCCTTCAATCCAAAACAGTCCCCCTTTCTTTCTTTCCTTCCTTCCTTCCTTCCTTCCTTCCTTCCTTCCTTCCTTCCTTCCTTCTTTTTCTTTCTTTCTTTCTTCTTTCCTCTTTTTTTTGGACAGAGTTTTGCTCTTATTGACCAGGCTGGAGTGTAATGGCACAATCTTGGCTCACCGCAACCTCTGCTGACTGGATTCGAGTGATTCTCCTGCCTCAGCCTCCTGAGTAGCTGGAATTACAGGCAGGCAACACCATGAACAGTTAATTTTGTATTTTTAATAGAGACGGGGTTTCTCCACGTTGGTCAGGCTGGTCTCGAACTCCCGACCTCAGGTGATCCACCCGCCTCGGCTTCCCAAAGTGCTGGGATAACAGGCGTGAGCCACCGCGCCCGGCTCCCTCAGTCTTTCTTAGTCTTTTGTGACTCTGACGTTTTCGAATATACAGTCCCTTTAAATAAATAGTGTTTCTCAATTTGGGCTCGTCTGATGTTTTTTCATTTTAAAAATTAAAAAAAAAATTTGTTTTTGAGCCAGGGTCTTGCTTCGTCACCCAGCCTGGAGTGCAGTGGCGTGAACATGGGTCACTGCAGCCTCGACTTCCCAGGCTAAGGTGATCATTCCTGCCGCAGCCTCCCAAGTAACTGGGACCATAGGTGCACGCCACCACACCCGGCTTTTTTTTTTTTTAATTATTTATTTATTTTTGGGTATTTTTGTAGCAATGGGGTTTCGCCATGTTGCCCAGGCTGGTCACAAACTTCTGGGCTCGGATGATCCTCCTGCCTTGGCCTCCCAGTGTTAGGATTACAGGCGTGAGCCACCGGGCCCGGCTGATGTCTTCTCACGATGAGATTCCGGTTGTGCCTTCCTGGCTGGAATGCTGCATAGATGATGCCGTGGCGTGCGAAGACCTTCACATCTGGAGGCTCACGACACCCTCCTGCCTCTCACAGGTGATTTATTATAACCCCTCGGTCAAGATGTCTGATTCCTCTACTGTATAGTTACTCTTTTTCCTCTTGTTACTAATAAGCAATCTATCAAGAGACGCTTTGTGACCATGCCGACGCCCTGCCCCTCACTGAGGACTTCCCAGCCCCAACTGATGAGTTCTGCTCATAGACTGTCTTCTTGTAGGCAGCCTCCTCTGCTATGTTTGTTTCTCCGGGAAGGACCTTGGATCCTGGGTAGGTGCTCGCCTTGCCTGGCAGTCAAGTGCAGTGCTGCTGTCTTGGCCGATGCCTAGCCTTCCTCCTTTGCCCGGGCTTCAAGGCATTGGTTCACAGTCCCGTATGGGCAGCCAGACCATCTCACAGCGAGCAGCCCTCTGGGAGGTTCGTCTCATTTCCTGCCCTGGAAGCTTTGCTTCCCCACTGCAGCCACTGAAGCTGCAGGCTGGATCGAGGGGACCACACAGTTGTCCAGTCCCCCAGGGTAGGGGTGCCAGGAGCCCTTCTCCTCCGCAGCAGGTCTCGGAGGCTGATGATGGGGAAATCGCACTGGTGAGCCTGCCGTGGGCTCAGGGGGAACCTGCGATAAGATGCCCAACAGTTAAGGCAGCTGCTTTGAGGTTTGGAGCCTGAGAACCCACAGGAAGTGACTTGGTGCTGAGCTGCTGTTGCTTCGTCCTGGTGCTGGTCTCAGGCCAGGAGCTGCAGGCTGGCATGGCTGGGGGCATGTCAGCAGAGTGCCCTGAGCCTGGGCCAGGAGGGCCACAGGGCCAGTCCCCAGGGCCAGGCAGGCAGTGTCCCCCTCCCACCACGCCCGCCCCCTGGAGCCTGCCCCGGTGGAGGGCCTACGTGGCTGCTGCCGTGCTCTGCTACATCAACCTTCTGAACTACATGAACTGGTTCATCATCGCAGGTGAGGAGGGGACGGCCACCCTGGGCAGCACCTGCTGTTCTGCCCGCCAGCCAGGGGCTGCAGATCCATGGTGGTCTTCCAGCCATCATCCATCTTTCTGTTCCCGGCCCTGTCTCTGGTGTTCTCCCCTCTAGAGGTGGTTTTCAAGTCTGCCCGAATCGGGGAGGACCAACTGACATTCCTAATCCAGCCTCAGTTAAAGACGGGGCACAGGCTGGGCATGGTGGCTCCCACTTGTAATTCCAGCACTTTGGGAGGCTGAGGCAGGAAGATTGCTTGAGCCCAGGAGTTTGAGACCAACCTAGTCAACATAGTGAGGCTCTGTCTCTATCTTTTTTTTTTTTTTTTAGAGAGAGTCTCGCTCTGTCGTCCAGGCTGGAGTACAGTGGCGCAATCTCAGCTCACTGCAACCTCTGCCTCCCGGGTTCAAGTGATTCTCCTGCCTCAGCTTCCTGAGTCGCTGGGACTACAGGCATGCACCACCATGTCTGGTTAATTTTTGTATTTTGAATAGAGGAGTAGAGACAGGGTTTTACCATGTTAGTTAGGCTGGTCTTGAACTCCTGACATCAGGTGATCCGCCTGCCTCGGCCTCCCAAAGTGCTGGGATTACAGGCATGAGCCACTGCACCCGGCCTTTTTTTTTTTTCTCGAGATGGAGTCTCGCTCTGTCGTCCAGGCTGGAGTGCGGTGGCATGATCTTGGCTCACTGCAACCTCTGCCTCCCGGGTTCAAGAGATTCCTATTTCAGCCTCCCGAGTAGCTGGGACTACAGGTGCACACCACCATGCCAGGCTAGTTTTTGTATTTTTAGTAGAGATGGGGTTTTGCCATGTATGCCAGGCTGTCTCAAAGTCCAGACCTCAGGTGATCCGCCCGTCTCAGCCTCCCAAAGTGCAGGGATTACAGGCGTGAGCCACCGCACCCGGCCAAGAGTCTGTCTCTATTTAAAAAATTAAAACTATTTTAGGGCTGGGTGCAGTGGCTCACGCCTGTAATCCCAGCACTGTGGGTGGCCAAAGCAGGCAGATCACTTGAGGTGAGGAGTTCGTGACCAGCCTGGGCAACATGTTGAATCCCCGTCTCTACTAAAACTATAAAAATTAGCCAAGCGTGGTAGTGGGTGCCTGTAATCTCAGCTACTGTGGAGGCTGAGGTAGAGAATTGATTGAACCTGGGAGGTGGATATTGCAGTGAGCCAAGATTCCACCATTGCACACCAGTCTGGGCGACAGAGCAAGACTCTGTCTCAAAATATATATATATATATATATTTTTTTTTTTTTTAATTAAGAGAGAGCACAGTGGGGGTGGAGCCAGAGGCATAATGAGGGGTGGGTTGGTGAGGATAGCAGGGAGGACTTCCAGGCAGAGACCGCAAGGTTCTGGGTGGAGGACAGGGTAGCCTGGCCCAGACAAGAATAGCTCCTGCTGGCTGCGTTTCTAGGACAACAGGCTGCTCGCAAACCTTGCACATTCTGCCTTCCTTCTTGCAGGCCTCAGGGCTCAGCCTGCTTCTTTCTGTCTTCTGTCGCTCATTCACTCACTCACTCACTCACTCACTCACTCACTCACTCACTCATTCATTCATTCAAGACTGATCAGGGGCTGGGCACGGTGGCTCACACCTGTAATCCCAGCACTTTGGGAGGCTGAGGTGGGTGGATCACCTGAGGTTAGGAGTTCGAGACCAGCCTGGCCGACATGGTGAAACCTTGTCTCTACTAAAAACACAAAAATTAGCCAGGTGTGGTGGTGGGTGCCTGTAATCACAGCTACTTGGGAGGCTGAGGCAGGAGAGTCGCTTGAACGAGGGAGGTGGAGGTTGCAGTGAGCTGAGATCGCGTCATTGTACTCCAGCCTGGGCGACAGAGCGAGACTCCATCTCAAACAACAACAACAACAATAACAACAACTGATTGAGGCTCCACTTGCTCTTCTTGTCATTCATTCATCCATTCATTCCTTCACTCACTCATTCATTCAAGACTGACTGAGCACTAACTGTGGGCAGGACCCCTGGTGGCTCCTGGGGACCCAGGGAGGAAAACGGACTTGTAGTTCCTGAACTCAGGAATGACCATCTCATGGGGCAGAGACAGAGTCTGGTTGATGGCAGTCCTGAGAGGCAGAGAGGTGCAGCCAGACAAGGGGGAGGCACAGGCCGGGCTGGGAGCTCAGGAGGGTGCCTGCAGCTGCTAGGCATTTCTGAGACCTGGGCATTGATCTGTCAGTTACCAGCTCAGCATGCCAGAGAGTGGCTGTGGAATCATGAAACTCTAGGGGCTGCAGAGCCATCCCCAGACCTGGTCATTGTCTTTGAGGAGCTCAGAGGTCAGAAGCTTCTCCTCCTCATTTGAGGTCAGGAGTTCGAGACCAACCTGGGCAACATAGAAAAACCTTGTCTCTACAAAAAATTTAAAAAGTTAGCCAGGGACAGTGACAGCTGAAGATAGTGATGTCTCCAGCCTCTTGGGAGGCTGACACAGGAGGATTGCTTGAGGCTGAAGCAGGAGGATTGCTTGAGGCTGAAGCGGGAGGATTGCTTGAGGCTGAATTCAGCAGGAGGATTGCTTGAGGCTGAAGCGGGAGGATTGCTTGAGGCTTGAATTCAGCAGGAGGATTGCTTGAGGCTGAATTCAGCAGGAGGATTGCTTGAGGCTGAAGCAGGAGGATTGCTTGAGGCTGAAGCGGGAGGATTGCTTGGGGCTGCAGTGAGCAGTGGTCGTACCACTGCACTGTAGCCTGAGTGACAGAGCAAGATCTTATCTTAAACCCCTAAAGACAAAAAGCAAAACAAAATACACTAAACAAACAAACAACCCCGAAGGGGCGTATGGGGTGAGATCAGAGCTTCTTGGGTGCCAGACTGGGAAAGCTTGCTTTCTGCCGTGGGCAATGGGGAGCCATATAATTGGATTTGAGGCCCTGATGGAGGCAAAATGATCCGGGGAGTCAGTTCAGAGGCTGCTGTAGTGGATCAGGCCAAAGCTGAGGAGGCCTGAGTTGGCGTGTGGGCCGAGGGCACGCAAAGGCGGGAAGGAGCAAGAGGCCGATGAGAGCCAGGAATCACCAGTGCGGAGCTCCCAGAACCCGGGAGCCTGGGGACCCGCTATCTCTGCCGCTAGCCCTGGGGGCCCCTGGCTGGGCCCTAAGACCCTGAGTCTTGCCTGCCCAGGTCCCTTCCCCATTAGCACTTCCTCTGTATGTGCAAAAAAGGGGGCTGTGATTACTGTGGGGACAGAGACCTGGAGAAGTGAAACCATGCTGAGCGTCTGGGAACTGGTGGGGGTAAACAGCTAAAATGTTCTTGTAGGAAACAGCTCTTATGGGGCCAGGGGGGTAGGTTACAGGTAAAAGCAAGGCTGGGTGCACACTTGGCCCTGGGTCACCCCTAGAGCACCATGGGGCTGGGAGGAGCCCAGGAGGAGATAAAACAAGGGGATGAGTCCTCATTCCTGAAAATGGAAGATGGGTACGATTTAGAGCATTTTTGTTTAGCTATTTATTTTGCTTACCTGTGTTGTCTACTTTTTTTTCTTTCCAAAGACTGTCTTTTTTGTGTATTTAAAATAATAAAAGGGGGACTTTGAGAGGCCGAGGCAGGTGGATCACCTGAGGTCAGGAGTTCGAGACCAGCCTGGCCAACATGGTGAAACCCTGTCTCTATTAAAAATATAAAAACATTTTTTTGGCGGTGGCGCTGGGGTTGGCTTCAAGCCCTGTAATCCTAGCCCCAATTTTGGACCCGAGACGGGCGATCACGGAGAGGGTTCAGGAGATCGAGGGAACCCATTTTTTCCTGGCCTGACCACGCGTGAAACCCCCCGTCCTCTTCACTGGGAAAACAAAAAAAAATACAAAAAACTAAGGCGGCGAGGAGATGGGGCCGGCGGCGCCTTGTTAGTTCCCCAGGCTACCTCGGGTGAGGGCTGAGGCAGCGCGGGAGAAAAAATTAGCGGGAAAAACCCGGGGGAGGGCGGAGGCTTGCAAGTGTGAGCTTGAGGATCCCGGGCCCACCTGCACTCCAGCCTGGGGTGACAGGGAGCGGGAACACCCTCCGTTCTCAACAAAAAAAAAAAAAAAAAAAAAAAAATATATAATATATTATATTTATATATATTTTAAAAATTTAGCTGGGCGATTGGGGCATCGCCGTTTGTGAAGATCCCCCCAGCTACTTGGAGGGGCTAAGGGCAAGGGAGAATCACTTGAACCCCAGGAATGGGCCAAGCAGGTTTTGGCAATTAGGCCGAGATTGGGCGCCATGTTGTACTACCAGGCTGGGCCGGGGACCCCCACAGCGAAAGACTCCATCTTCAAAAAACAATACAGGCCCAGCGCAGGGTGGCCTTTTCACACCTTTGTAAATTCCCCAGCACCTTCTTGGGAGGGCCCAAGGCGGGGGTGTTTATCACCAGAGGGGTCCCAGGAGTTCAAAAGGAACCCCAAGCCCTCCTGGGCCCAACATGCAGTGAAAACCCCGTCTCTACTAAAAATACAAAAATTAGCCAGGTGTGGTGGCAGATGCCTGTAATCCCAGCTACTTGGGAGACTGAGGCAGGAGAATTGCCTGAACCCAGGAGGTGGAGGTTGCAGTGAGCTGAGATTACATCACTGCACTTCAGCCTGGATGAAAGAGTGAGACTCCGTCTCAAAAAAAAAAACAAACAAAAAAACCCAAACAACAACAAATAAAATATTAAAGGGGGAAAAGGACATGCCGGTTTGTATGCTAGGTTGCGGTGGCAACTGGGGACAAATTAAATGTCTAAACAAAGATTTATTTCTTTTTTTTATTTTTGGAGACAGAGTCTCCAAAATATTTTTAGTAGAGTATTTTTAGAGTATTTTAGTAGAGTATTTAGTAGAGTATTTTTAGTAGAGACGGGGTTTCACCATGTTAGCCATGATGGTCTCGATCTCCTGACCTCGTGATCTTCCAGCCTCAGCCTCCCAACGTGCTGGGATTACAGGCGTGAGTCACCGCGCCCGGCCCTAAACAAAGATTTCTTGCTTTGCTCCTCTGATTCCTTGATCTTTATGTGCCTCGGGCAGTTCTTGGAGGTGCGCACGCAGGACTTTCTTGGGTGTTTCTGCGGGGACCCACTTGGGGGCTTCCGCTCCCCTTCTGTGGTTCTGGGTGTGTGGACAGGCTGCCTCTGGCTGAGATTTGAGCCCCAGCTCCCCCAGCTTCAGACGGGCAACCTTGGGCTGCTAGAGCCTCTGTTTCCTCATCTGTAGAATGGGGGCAATGAGAGTCCCCTCCATTTAGGATGACAGCTGTGAGTGTACAGCTCAGGGCCTGGCCCTCAGTCACCTCCTGATTCATGAAAGTGATGGTTGTTGCTCTTCATAATAACGACAGGGCCAGAGCCGCATGGCTCACGTGAGCGGGTGCTGCAGACCCGGACCCTTTCTGAGACACCACCAAGAGGCTATCAGGAAACAGACCCTGGTGTCTGGGAGACCCACGTTCTCTCTCTGCATTAGGCTGGGCGCCCACTGCGGTGCCTCTGGAAGAACCTGCTTGTGTGTGCGCATGCGTGCAAGCCGGGACACGTTCGTCTTTGTATGTACATGTTCATCAATGCATATCCGGTGTTTGCACGAGCAAGGCCGCTGTGCTGCACAGCTCTAGGGACTTCTGTTTACACAGTGGCCTAAGTAAAGGGCTGTGCACTGCGCAGCAACAGGGAGCTGTGCCCCTCTGACCGCAGTGTGGATGGCAGCCCTGAGCCTGTGCATACGCAGGTGGGTCTCTGGGTGTGTCTTTATGGGTACATCTCACTGCACATGTGTCTGTGTGTCTGTGTGTATGAGGCTGGGTGTACATGTCTGTGAGTGTGAGTTCCTGTGTGTGTGTATATTTGTGCCTCTGCAGGTGTGTTGCTCTGGAAATGCCTGTTTGTATCTATTTATATCTGTGTTCCCACATGAAGAGGAGGGAAGGAGCTGTGTGGCTGTGTGCTTGTGTGTCGACGTGTGTATGTGAATGTCTGTGCCTTTGGGATGCTTGTTTCTTTCTTTCTTTCTTTTTTTTTTTGTTTTTTTTTTTTGAGATGGAGCTTCGCTCTTGTTGCCCAGGCTGGAGTGCAATGGCGCAATCTCAGCTCACGGCAACCTCCGCCTCCCAGATTCAAGCGATTCTCCTGCCTCAGCCTCCCAAGTAGCTGGGATTACAGGCACTGGCCACCACGTCTGTCTAATTTTTTGTATTTTTAGTAGAGACGGGATCTCACCATATTGACCATGGCTGGTCTCGAACTCCTGACCTCATGTGATCTGCCCGCCTTGGCCTTCCAAAGTGCTGGGATTACAAGCGTGAGCCACCGTGCCCGGCCAAGGGATGCTTGTTTCTTTGAGTGTTTGAAATGCACATGTTTCTCTGTGTGTCTGCTGTTGTGTGTGTGGTTGTGCACGTGTGGGAGACAGGGGGAGAAAACAGTGGGCTTCGGTGCCATGCCTTCCGCTGTGCTGTGGCCCTGTGTCAAACCCGGAGCAGCTGCCTTCAAAGGCCAGGAGTGTGACTTCCCATTTCCTGAGCACTGTCCCTCTGTCCACAGGAGTGCTGCTGGACGTACAGGAGGTTTTTCAGATCAGTGACAGCCATGCTGGTTTGCTTCAGACTGGTAAGGAGGAGCCCTGGCTCTGGAGCTGGGTCCTGGGTTCCTGCTGGGGTGGGCTCTTTCTGTGGGTCATGTTCTGTGCCCAGCTCCAGCCCCACTGGGTCCCCTGGCACAGAGGGTGGGTGCGGCATGGGCCTGAGGGACAGTGTAGGCAGGAGCGGGAGAGAGCCCAGGCTGGAACAGCCGTGGTAGTTTGAGTGTAGGGTGCTGCAGGAGAGCAGAGGGAGGTGGGGCTGGGAGAGGCCCCCGAGTCTCAGCTCCTGGCTGTGGAGCTAGTCATTCCTTCCCTTCGTATTGCTGAGGCTCAGCTGTGCGCCAGAGGCTTGCTGGGGTTTGAGAAATCCTGATGTGTGCTTTCCTCTCACAGACCTGAAAAATCTGACTACTGGGACGCACGAAGTCAAACAGACAGACACAGACACAGACACATTCCCCTGCGTGGGCTCAGATGGACTCTGGGCCCACAGAGAGCCTAACACCCAGCAGCAGGGAGCAGCCACACGTCCCATCACATCAGAGCGGTTGGGGTCATGAGGCATTAGCTTTTCCCTTGTGGGTGCCTGGATGGTGATACACATTCACACATGTGCATATCCGCACACCCACACGGGCACACATGTGGTCACAACACGTCATACACCTGTGCACACACCCAGCCTGTAATCAGTAGGCACTGAGGGTCCTTCTCCCAGTCCATCATCTCAGGGCTTTAGAACATGACTCTCAAACTGGGGTACAGGGATCTCTGGGGATACACAGTAACTTTCCAGGGGCTACATGAACACGGAGCGTTTTGAGAGACTGATTTATTTCTAGATCCTCAAGCCTGTATGTTTTTTTCCTACAATGACCTGCCTGCCGGGGAGCCTGTGGTCGGCCTGTGGTTCTCCTTCCTCTCCTTCCGTTGTACAATTCCCTGGCTACGGCAGTAAGCAGAGAGGGACCCGTCTCCGCATCCTGGATGTGCTGTTCCTGGGTGTAAAAACCTCCGGGGCATCAAACAGAGGCCCCTGCGTGGATGTTCGGCTTCTGCTGGGGGGACCTTGGGAGCAAAGCAGAGAGCATCAGGAGAAATGTGCTGGGCAGATTTGCCCCAGGCCACAAGCCCAGGCAAGGAGCCAAGCCTTATCTAGCTGTCCCTGTGTGCAATGTCTACTATTTATCTACGAATTAGAATTCAAAGTGAGATAATGGTCTCAGGGATGCATGTCAACACATTTGTTTCAATGAAAAAAATGAAGCCAACATTTTTCTTTTTTTTTTTTGAGACAGAGTTTTGTTCTTGTTGCCCAGGCTAGAGTGCATGGCACGATCTCGGCTCACTGCAACCTCCACCTCCCAGGTTCAAGCAATTCTCCTGCCTCAGCCTCCCGAGTAGCTGGGATTACAGGCATGTGCCACCATGTTGGCCAGGCTGGTCTCGAATTCCCGACCTCAGGTGATCCGCCCATCTCAGCCTCCCAAAGTGCTGGGATTATAGGTGTGAGGCACCACGCTGGGCAACATTTTTCTTATAATCAATTTGATTGTCTAATTGCTTTGGCAAAAGAGGACGGGCATTATGACTTGGATTCTACTGCAAACATTCCCCGTAAACTGAATAAACTCGACCCTGTAGTTCCAAGAGTTTGGATGAAAATACAGTTAAAAAAAAATACACAACAATGCTGGAAGTCCCATCCTTGGCAACGATTCAAACTCGGGATAAGAACATTTTAATATTAGCTGAAAATATGTGGAAGGGTACGTAGTTCTAGAAAGTTCTTTAAAAATGAGGTGAGAGCTGGGTGCAGTGGCTCACGCCTGTCATCCCAGCTCTTAGGGAGGCAGAGGCGGGAGAATAGCTTGAGCCCAGGAGTTCGAGACCTGCTTGGGCAATATAGTGAGACTTCCTTCTCCACAAAAAGGAAAAAAAAAAAAAAAAGAGAGAGTTACGTGAGAAAGAGTTAGAAGACCATGGCTTTAGAACATGCATCATTTCCAATTGCCCCTCAGTCTTGCGGCCAAGAGGCGGCAACTGATGCTGATCTGCCAGCCATATCTGTAGCCAAAGTGAGATACCCACAACCTCCTCGATTAAATAGATAATGGTGGTTTAGTCAACATTTCCCTTCACTCGTTCTTTTTTTTTTTTTTTGAGACGAAGTTTCACTCTTATTGACCAGGTTGGAGTGCACGATCTTGGTTCACTGCAACCTCTGCCTCCCGGGTTCAGGTGACTCTCCTGCCTCAGCCTCCTGAGTAGCTGGGATTGCAGGTGCCTGCCACCATACCCGGCTAATTTTTGTAGTTTTAGTAGAGATGGGGGTCTCACCATGGTGGCCAGGCTGGTCTTGAACTCCTGACCTCAGGTGATCTGCCAGTCTCGGCCTCCCAGATTGTTGAGATTACAGGCGTGAGGCACCGTGCTGGCCCTTCACTGGTTCTACCATAGTGGTCAGGATTATTACTATAAGGCCTGGGCCACGGAGGGCAAAGTGTGTGTGTGTGTGTGTGTGTGCGTGTATTTGGGAGTAGGGGAAGAGAAGGGTAATCTTTGCAGAAGCAGCCCAAAAATTTCACGGAAAGGACAGTGGGCTTGGAGGCCTGATGACCAGGCTGGTCTCTGGTGGCCTCAGATGAGGTCTCTTTACCTTTTCAGGTTGCCATGCTGTGGCCCTAGACCCAGCCTGCTGTTTGTCCACAGGGCTGCTAAGAAGAGGAAACTGATGACTGAGGGAGAGGGTGGTGAAGAGATAGAGGGATTGGGTCAGGTACAGTGGCTCATGCCGGTAATCCCAGCACTTTGGGAGGCCAAGGTGGGTGGATCACCTGAGGTTGGGAGTTTGAGACCAGCCTGACCAACATGGTGAAACCCTGTCTCTACTAAAAATACAAAGATTAGCCAGGTGTGGTGGCAGGTGCCTGTAATCTTGCTACTTGGGAGACTGAGACAAGAGAATCACTTGAACCCAGAAGGCAGAGGTTGCAGTGAACTGAGATCGTGCCACTGCACTTCAGACTGGGCCACAGAATGAGACTCTGTCTCAAAAAATCAATAAAAAGAGAGAGTGGTGGAAGGTGAGAATGAGGCAGTGGTCAGGCTCCCTTCACCCACCCATGGGATAGAGAGGCTGCTGGAGTGAGTTAATTAATTAATCACATTTAAAACTAACACTGACTTGGCCCTTACCACGTGCCAGGCACTATTCTAAGTGCTTTAAATATCAACTCATTTAATCTTCACAACAATCCCACGAGGCAGGTTTTACTATTATGTCCATTTTACAGCTGATGACACTGAGGCTCAGAGAAGTTAGGAGACTTGCTGAAGCTGGGATTCGAATCCAGGAAGCGTGCCTCCAGAGTCTGTCTTTTAACTCTGGGAGCATTCATTTCATCCACTATGTCAAATAAGTGATTTGAATTTGGAGATGTTGGAAATGAAGAGTGTCTGCTTTCCCCTTGGGAAGGGCATCTGCAGAGTCAGTCACAGAGCGTCTGCAGGTTTAAGGCACTGAAAACAGCCTGCAAGTGATCCCTGCATGTGAGGAATATGGGGAAAAATAGATTTATTTATTGTTTGTTGTTTGTTGCTGTTTTGAGACAGAGTCTCGCTCTGTCACACAGGCTGGAGTGCATTGCACAATCTTGGCTCACTGCAACCTCCGCCTCCCAGGTTCAAGCAATTCTCCTGCCTCAGTCTCCCTAGTAGTTGGGATTACAGGTGTGCGCTACCACACCCGGCTAATTTCTGTATTTTTGGTAGAGACAGGGTTTCACCATGTTGGCCAGGCTGGTCTTGAACTCCTGACCTCAGGTGATCCACCCGCCTTGGCCTCCCAAAATGCTGGGATTACAAGTGTGAGCCACCGCCCCCGGCTGGGAAATAGTTTTATAACTTTTGGATAAAGAAGATATGCATAAACAAGACGTGAAACAACTCTTGCCCCTCTAGAAGGTTAATAAACTTGACAATGTCAAAGCTAAACACTTCTGTATGATGATGATTGAAATTATGCAATCAGTAATAATAATAGATAACATTTGTTGGATGTTTACATGAAGCTATGCAGATGACTTTTATGTGCTTTATTTTACTTAATCCTCTCAGTAACCAAACAAGGGAACAGCACTGTTGATGAAAGGGGAACAAAAGAGTTAAGGAATCTGCCCAAGGTCACATAGCTAGAAAGTGGAGAGCCAGGATTTAAACCCAGCCAACTTAGTCCCAGAAATTGCGCTTTTAATTCTTAAAACAAACATAGAACTATGTTCTATGGGAACTTATTTCCAAAACATATGAACAAACAACAGCCCAGTAGAAAAATGGAAAGTGGGCCGGGCGCAGTGGCCCATGCCTGTAACCTCAGCACTTTGGGAGGCCGAGGTGGGTGGATCCCTTGTGCCCAGGAGTTCGAGACCAGCGTGGGCAAGATGGTGAAACCCCATCTCTACAAAAACTACAAAAATTAGCCAGGTGTGGTGGTACGTGCCTGTAGTCTCAACTACTCTGGAGGCTGAGGTGAGAGGATGGCTTGAGGCTGGGAGGCAGAGGCTGCAGTGAGCCGAGATTGAACCACTGCACTCCAGTCTGGGTGACAGAGTGAGACTTTGTCTCGAAAAATAAAATAAAAGTATAAATGCAGCTGTGTCCAGGGAACATTTTACCTATGTAGGAGAACCAACTCTTTCCTGGCTTCCTGGAATCATCACTAGTTCACAGCGAATGTGCTTATTCTTTCTTCCCCCCCCACCCCCGCTTTTTTTTGAGACCAAGCCTTGCTCTGTCGCCCAGGCTGGAGTGCAGTGGCGTGATCTCGGCTTACTGCAACCTCTGCCTCCCGGGTTCAAGCGATTTTCATGCCTCAGCCTCCTGGGATTACCGGCGCCCACCATCAGGCCTAACTTTTTTGTATTTTTTTTTTAGTAGACACAGTTTCACTATATTGCCCAGGCTGGTCTTGAACTCCTGAGCTCAGGCAATCTGCCTGCCTCAGCCAACTAAAGTGCTGGGATTACAGGCGTGAGCCACTGCGCCCGGCCTAATGTGCTCATTCTAAACCATCCTCATCTGCTGCTCAGAGCAGGCCCAGGCTGACTTCCCTCTTTCCCTGCTCCCTGTTGCCCCAGCAGGTGCATGAATGAAAAATCAGACCTGTCCCCATATCCAGGCTCACAGGGGTCACGTGTTTTTGTAAAGCCGGGAAACTGGCATCTGCTCCATGCCTGACGCTCCACATTCACTTCCCATCTCACCTTCGCCATCCTGGGAGGGGATGGTGACTTCTCCAGTGTTGGGGTGACACTCAGAGCAAGCGGCAGAGCTGGGCTTTGGGTTTGGGGCCGGGTCCAGGCCTCCACACACTGGGCTGGGGTTGTATGTTGGCCACGCACCGTGAGGTTCACCTTATCTTTTCTTCCTCCTACCCTGGACCCGCTGCCAAGATGCCAGCTTGTGGCTTCTGAGTCAGGCTCCTTCCCTCCCCAGGCCTGCGGGGCCGTCTGCCCTGCCACGGTCGTGGGGGGATCCAGGCTGCCCCTGTGTGTCTCCTCCAGTCTTCATCGGCTGCCTGCTGCTGTCTGCACCCGTGTTTGGCTACCTGGGCGACCGATACAGCCGCAAGACCACCATGAGCTTCGGGATCTTGCTCTGGTCAGGAGCTGGTCTCTCTAGCTCCTTCATCTCCCCCCGGGTAGGTGTCCATGCCTCTGCCCAGTCCCCTGAGGCCCCTTCCCCACCTGCTTCCTCCCTGATCCAGCCCCATCAGAGCTGCGGGGGGACAATTCTGCTCCATTCCCAGCTGTGACTGGATCAGGGATTGCACTGAGGGCTGGGAGAGGAGGTGAGGGCCCAGTCTCCAGCCTGAGCTGCGCAGGGCAGAGCTGGCGGACTTTTTCTTTTTCTTTTTTTTTTGAGACACAATTTCGCTCTTGTTGCCCAGGCTGGAGTGCAATGGTGCGATCTCGGCTCGCTGCAAACTCTGACTCCCGAGTTCAAGCGATTCTCCTGTCTCAGCCTCCAGAGCAGCTGGGATACCAGGCGCGTGCCACCACGCCCAGCTAATTTTTGTATTTTTTAGTAGAGACAGGGTTTTGCCGTGTGGGTCAGGCTGGTCTCGAACTCCCGACCTCAGGTGATCTGCCCACCTTGGCCTCCCAAAGTGCTGGGATTACTTGCATGAGCCACCGTGCCTGGCCGACCCAGTGGACTTTCTTAACAGGAGACCTCTTCTCTCCTACCTCTCACTGCCGCACCAGCTTCATTTCTGCCTGACTCTGCAGGGGGTGGAACTGGGGGTAACAGCTGCTGTCTTGGGGAACTGGCCTGGTTAGCAATGGTGGGACCCAGGAGAAGGGCTCCCCTGGGCAGGGGGGTAGGCGGTGGCTTCAGGGGACACATATGTGACTTTGGGAACCTGGAGTGGAGAGGTGTCCATAGCCCCGATCCCCTCTCCCTACTCTGGGGTCCTGTGTCATGAGGTCCCCTTGGCTCTTCCAACAAACCCTCGGGTCCCTGGCCCTCTGGGTGATTTCTGGAACTCACGTGGTCTTGTGCCTGCTCGCCCAGTATTCTTGGCTCTTCTTCCTGTCCCGGGGCGTCGTGGGCACTGGCTCGGCCAGCTATGCCACCATCGCGCCCACCGTCCTGGGCGACCTCTTCGTGAGGGACGAGCGCACCCGCGTGCTGGCCGTCTTCTACATCTTTATCCCTGTTGGAAGGTTGGTATTACCCATGAGTCCACTTTCCCAGGTGGTAAACTGAGGCCCAAAGGAGTCAGAACAGGGGCTGGGCATCGGTAGGAGAGGTCAAACCAGGAGGGCTGCAGTTTGAGTCCCAATGCTACCCCTTCCTCACCACGAGTCTACCTCTCCGAGCCTCAGTTTCCTCATCTGTCAACGGGGGCAATGACGCCAGCTGATGGGCTGGGGGAGGAATAGAGGTGATGAGGATGCGCCCTGCAGATTCATACACTTGGCAGTGTGACCCGCCCAGGGAGGGGCCGGCCCTGGGAGGCGAGGTGAGGAAGCGTATTAGGGCCAGGCCCTGCACCCCACAGCAGGCTAGGCCAGAGCAGGATTTGCAGTCAGGACCCTGGCCTCTGACCCAGATTTCCTGAACTTGCCTGACTCAAGCAGGGCCCAGCCTTGGGCAGGAGGGTGGAGGGTATGGGTTTCCATAGGTGGGGAGAGTGGCGCTGGGGGTGGGCCAGGAGCCAGAGGTCACTGATGACTTGACCAAGGGCAGCGGACATCTGGGCCTCACGTGGCTTACTTTCCTCAGTGAAACAGCTCTGAGCCTGCAGACAGCCAGCTCCCTGGGGCACGGGGGAGCATCCTGGGTCAGGCTGGCAGTGGGGTCTGCCTTCCGCCTCCCTCCCCTCACAGCCCATCGCCCTTGACCCTCTGTTGCAGTGGTCTGGGTTACGTGCTGGGGTCGGCTGTGACGACGCTGACTGGGAACTGGCGCTGGGCCCTCCGAGTGAGTCCAGCTTCCTTTTCTTCCCTCTGCTTTCCCTCTGGACCGGCAGGGACTTTCCAGCCTTGGGTGACCTTAGCCACTTGGCGTAGCACCCGGCGCCATTGTGGGGGCGGGGGGTGGTCAGGCATTGGCAGCTTTGGAGATTTGGGGCCCCACGGGGAGCGTGGGTTGGGGAGGTGGTGGCCCTAGGCTCAAAAGCTGGCTGCTTAGTTTACCAGCTGTGTGATCTCAAGCGGGTTACCTTCTTCAGAGCCTCAGTTTGCCTGTCGGTAAAGTGGGGGTAGTAAATGCTACCTAAGGCATCTTGAGGATCCGTGAGACGAGAGATGGAAGTTCCAAGCCGCAGGGTCAGGGCATAGAGTAGGCCCTGGAGGACTGGCAGCTAGGCTCGCTCAGCAGTTGGGCAGGATGCTGAGGAAGATGCCGGGCAGGCCCCGCTGGGCTGCGGCCCTTGTGATTCCAACATGGGCTCGGAGCGGGACCATTCTGAAGAGGAAGGGACTCCATAGTGGAGAGCGCTGAGCTCAGCCCTGGGAGTGCAGCTTGGTGGGAGTGCAGGCTGCACGAAGACCTCTACGGAGCCAGCCAGTGCCGGGGAGCTGGCGTGTGAAGCGCTGAAGCCAGATTTGGAATCTCGGGAGTGGGGTGGGCTTCAAGGAGGCAGGTCTGACCTGGCTTGAATAAACCTTCTCATGGCCTGAGCTGTTTGCAGGCTGCCCCAAGGTGGGTAGTGAGATCCCCGCCCTTGGGGTTTGAGCAGAGGGGCCGCTAGGAGAGGATGCCAGGGCAGGACTATGTGGCAGATGGAGGCCTGGGCCAGGGAAAGGTCAGCTCTAGGGGCAGCAGGTACTCGGGAGGCAGGGCCAGTGTAGTGAGGGTCCCTGTTCTCAACCATCTCAGGCCCATTGACCCCAAAGGAGTGGTGTCTGTACTGGAAAGATGGGAATTACACGAAGTCCCAAAGAGACTCCACTGCCTGGAGAGGCTGCAGTGGGGAGGGCTGAGAAACAGTGGTACATCCCGCTCTGTGGATACCAGCGCCCTGAAAAACAAGTCACCCCCACCACTCCCAGGGCTTGGACTCCAGAGGTCAGACACTGGCTGGTACTGTGACCAGTTGCCCCTGGGGTCTCTTGGGCTGTGATAATACGCGGCCCTGAGCTTCCTGGGCCCTCCTGTCCCCAGATCATGCCCTGCCTGGAGGCCGTGGCCTTGATCCTGCTTATCCTGCTGGTTCCAGACCCACCCCGGGGAGCTGCTGAGACGCAGGGGGAGGGGGCCGCGGGAGGCTCCAGGAGCAGCTGGTGTGAGGACGTCAGATATCTGGGGAAAAAGTGAGTGTCACTGCTATCCCCTGCAAGGCATGGAAAAACCCCTTTGTCTGCCCCAGCCTCACTGACCCCCTCTCTCCACCTCCAGGGAGCCCTCCCTTGTTGTCCCAATGTTCACAGCCCTCCTCTTCCTCTGAGATCCCACTTACCAACTGAAGTGCCCCTCCCTCCCTTAGGGCTCAGCCTCCACCACCTTGCAAGTGACAGAAATATGGACAGGGAGGGAGGGAGATGGCATGAGCCCCAACCTTGCCTCTGCCACTGCCCTGCCCGTAAGTGGCCCTGGCACTCAGAGCCTCACTGTCCTTATTTATTCAATGGACGGAATTCTCCAGCCTTGTCCCCTTCTCTGGGTTGCTTGGGGGATGCTGGGAGTTTATCACTCACCTCTCCAAGCCTCATGGCGTGCGTGATCCTCTGTGCCAGCCATGCTGGGGGAGGCAGGCAGGAGTCAACTGCTGGTCCCAGGCCTCATGATTCACTGCAAGGCAGGGCATGGGCAGGACCCACTTCTGTCACTGAGCTGTGAAACGGGCCAGGAGGACTCAGAGGAAGATGGGGCAGGCAGGGACGGCTTCCTGGAGAATGTGATGCTGGATGGGGAACCCTCAGGATGGGGAGATTTGGTCCTGCAGAGAGGAGGGAGGGAGGAGGAGCCAAGGTGCATGGGTTGGGGGGGTCTCCGAAACATAGGGGAGGCTGGAGCTCAGGGTGCTGCCAGGAAGGATCTGGAGGCTGGAGCTTGGGGTAACCTGAGTGTCTTCTTCGGAGCCTCAGTTTGCCTATCTGTAAAGAGGGGTTAGCAATTGCTACCTACCTATGGAATCTTGAAGGTAATGAGACAAGATGGAAAAGTTCCCAGAGTGCCCAGGGGTAGGGAGGAGTGGACAGGCCCCTTCAGCCCCAGCCCTCTCCCGACTCCAGCTGGGGCACCTTGTCTTGCAGCTGGAGTTTTGTGTGGTCCACCCTCGGAGTGACCGCCATGGCCTTTGTGACTGGAGCCCTGGGGTTCTGGGCCCCCAAGTTTCTGCTTGAGGCGCGCGTGGTTCACGGGCTGCAGCCTCCCTGCTTCCAGGAGCCGTGCAGCAACCCTGACAGGTGAGGGCGTCCGAGGGCACTGGGCATCTTGCCCAGCTTGGGGGCTCTTGCTGAGGAAGTTCTGAGCTCCAAAATTCAGTGTCTTGAGGTGGGGCACGTGGTGCTGTGTGAAGACAGTGAGGCTCGGGACCCAGATGGCAGCAGGAGGCCTGGCTCGGGCTCTGGCTGAGCCTCTGCCACTCTGGGTGGCCATGGCCAGCTCCCTTGTCCTCTCTGGGCTGAATTCCCCATCTCTCCACTCTTGGGGCCGCTGTGGGCTCCAGAAGGCACTGGCGGGAGATGGGCGTGAGGCTTCTGTGGGGCTGTGGGATGAGAGGAGCCCCACCGTTCAGAGGGGCCTGTAGCATCTTCTGTGAGGGCATCCCATTTTACAGATGGCAAACTGGGGCCTGGGAGGCCTCGTCGCTTCACTAGTTTTGGGATTTCATGTGTGTGAGAAGGCTGCTGGGAGGGGAGGCACGGGCACTCTGCCCTCAGGGCACGCCCTCTCCCGCTTCCTGCCTGGCTGGCTGCTGCCCAGCTGGGCTCCACTTCTGTTCCTATCACCTTCGACCCTGTGCACCAAGAGCTCCAGTGACTGCTTGATGCTGAGTCAAGGACATCTTTCAGTTCTCCCTTCCTTCTCTCCTCCTCCTCCCCGAACCCTTAACCCCGGCCTCCCCACTGCCTCCAGCGGCTGCTCTTCCGCCTCCGTGCGGTCCCCGACTCCGCTCTGACCCTGTCCTGGTGGGTCCTGGGGGCTCCTGGGGATGCTGTCCACTTCCCTGGAGCCCCATCCTCCCCCAGGGTTTTGGCGACACTCGTCCTCTGCTGATTGCACCTGCGCCTACCTTCTCCTTCCCTCCTCCTCCTTCTCCTCCTTCCTTCACTCTTCTCTTCTCTTCTCTCTTCTCCTCTCCTCTCTTTTCTCTTCTCTCCTTCCTTCTCTCTTTCTTTCTCTCTCCCTCCCTCCCCTTCTCCTCTCCTTCCTCTCTCTCTGTCCCTCCCTCCTTCCCTTCCTCCCTTCCTTCTCTTCTTTCTTTTTTGAGTCAAGGTGTCACTCTGTCACCAGGCTGGAGTGCAATGGTACAAACAGTTCGCTGCGGCCTCGACTTCCCAGGCTTAAGCAATCCTCCCACCTCAGCCTCCCAAGTAGCTGGGACCACAGGCACACGCCACCATGCCTGGTAATTTTTTTTTTGAGACAGAGTTTCACTCTTGTTGCCCAGGCTAGAGTGCAATGGCACAATCTTGGCTGACTGTAATCTCTACCTCCTGGGTTCGAGTTGTTCTCCTGCCTCAGCCTTCCGAGTAGCTAAGATTACAGGCATGCGCCACCACAACCGGCTCATTTTTGTTTGTTTGTTTTTAGTAGAGATGGGGTTTCACCATGTTGGGCAGGCTGGTCTCAAACTCCCGACCTCAAATGATTGGCCCACCTTAGCCTCCCAAAGTGCTGGGATTACAGGCGTGAGCCACCGTGCCCGGCCTGACTTACAGATCTTTAAGGGCTCTCTTGGCTGTGAGAGTCTGTGGTGCTGGGAAGGCCCTGTGTGGATGGAGGGAACGTGAAGGGCTTCGTAGCTGGGCCATGTCCTCTGGCTGCGCCTCCCGTTCAGGGGCTGGTGGGGGTGCTTTTTCAGGCAGCCTGTCTAGATAATCAATCCTAAGTCTCACGATTATCTCGAGAACCTGCCAAGGTCAGCTCAGACCAGGACTCAGAGGCAGCCAGCATACATCTGGGATTCGGGTCACTTGACTAGGCTGAGCCAGACCTTGCACAGCTCGGAAAGCCCTGGGAAGGTTTGGAAAGCTCCTTCTTTCTTTTTTCTCCTGTCCTGCCTGCTTTCCAGCCTTTCCTTCCTTCCTCCCCTCCATCCTCCTCCTCCCTCCCTCCCCCTCTCCTCCTACCTCCTCCTCTCTCCTCCCCTCCTCCTCCTCCTCCTCCTCCCCTCCTCCCCTCCCCTCCTCCCTCCTCTCCCCTCCCCTCCCCTCCTCCTCCTCCTCTCCCATCCCCTCCTTCTCTCCCTCCTCCTCTCTTTTTTTCTTTTTCTCTTCCTTCTTTTCTTTTTTTTTTGGAGACAGTCTTGCTGATGTTTGCCTAGAGGCCTGGAGTTGCAGTGGGCACGATCTCACTGCACTGCAAAAGCTCCACCGATCCCCAGGTTCAGCATTCTCCTGCCTCAGCCTCGCAAGAGTAGCTGTGGACTACAGGCTTGTCCCGCCCAGCCCTCGCCAAGCCCTAATTTTTGTTAACGCTTTATAATTTTCGTAAGAGAATTTAGAAGAATTCCCTCCAGTCATTTGGGGCAAAGGCGAGGGTGGGAGAAGAAGGAGGGGAAGGCTACAATCGGTCGGCAATGGACCCCAGTCCCGCAGAGCTGTCAGTGCTGGCCAAGGAGCCTTGCTCAGAGAACAACAGGGAGCTACGTGAGAGGCTGGAAAGATCCTGGTTAGACTGGTGTTTTCAAGAGTTCACGCTGGGCAACAGTCTCAGCGTTCGCCCTTTGAGCTCCTTTATTTGTTTGTTTTGTTTTGTTTTGTTTTGAGATGGAGTCTTACTCTCTCCTTGCCACAGGCTGAAGTGCCGTGGTGCGATCTCAGCTCACTGCCGACCTTCACCTCCCCAGATTCACCTGATTCTCTTGCCTCAACCTCTCAAGTAGCTGGGATTACAGGTGCCCACCACCATTCCCAGCCTTATTATTATTATTTTTTTAGTAGAATGCGGTTTTGCTGTGTTGGCCAGGTTGGTTCCTTGAATCCTGACCTCAAGTGATCCACCCACACCTCGGCTCCCCAAAGTGCTGGGATTACAAGCATAAGCCACCATCACCCTGGCCCCTTTGAGCTCCCTTAAAAGGAGGCTGGAGGTTGCAAAATAGACCAGGAGGGTGAGGATGTATATTCAAATCCTAGTCTGTCATTTACCAGCTGGGTAATCTTGGCCTTGACTTTTCTCAGCCTCTCCTTGCTCATCTGTCCATCTGGGAATTGTAGGAGGAATCCGTGAGTTCACTTGCTCAACATATGTCTCTTGTGTGCCAGGCTCTATGCTCCCAGCATAGAGTCAAGAGAGGAAACCAAACCTGTTACTGTTCTCTAGGAATTCCCAGGCCAGCGAATGAACCTGATGACAGACACAGAAGGTGCTGTGGGAACTGATGGGAGTGAAGGGATCAGCCAGGGAACAAAGGAAGGGCATCCCCAAGTAGGCTGTGCTGGGTATTGAAGGATGAGTAGGAGTTTGATAGGTCAAAAACTAGTGAAGGGTGTTCCAGGCAGAGGAATGAAAGTGTGTGGTTGGGAGTCGGGAGGGGAGAGCAACTAGTCTGAGGGAAGAAAATAGAGCTAGGACCTGGAGTTGATGTGAGTCAGAGTCAGATCACGAAGAACAATGTACATCTTATGGAACTGGGGACAAATCTAGTGGGTGTCTGAGAGCTGGTGGAGAATTTTAGGCAGGAGGTGGGCAGGGACGTGGTCAGGTCTGTGTTTTTAATTTTATTTTTAGAGACAGATTCTTGCTCTGTTGCCCAAGCTGGAGTGCAGTGGTATGATCATAACTCACTGTGGCCTCGAACTTCTGAGCTCAAGTGATCTTCCCGCCTCAGCCTCTTGAGTAGCTGGGACTACAGGTGCACGCCACCAAGGCTGGATCATTTAAACATTTTTTGTAGAGATGAGATCTTTCTGATCTTGAACTCCTCCCACCACGGATCTCCTGCCACCACAGAATGCACTCTTGGGGAGCCTGCGTGGCAGTTATTTTGGAGGGACAGGTCTCCACAGGAAGAATGTACAAGGGGAAGCAAAATGGAGTAGAAGTGGGTCTAAAAGTGGGTGGGAAAGGGACGGAGGTCAGGCAGGGGCTGCCTGAGGGGAATTCAAAGACAGGAAGTGGAAGGATGGGATTCAAGGAAGGAGGGCGTGTAGGGGGCCCAGACAAGGGCCGGGTGTATCACTGGGGCTTAGTAAATACATGTTCGCTTGCCTCCATTCCTCTTAGTACTGGGAGTTGCAAAGAGAGAAGGTTGGGGCCAGAGTGGGATCTTGGAATTCAGATTTTGAGTGGGCAGTTTTGGGGGATGAGAGGGAAAGGGTCAATGGAGATGAGGCAGGCTGGGACCTGGGGTGCTGGGCGATCACCCACATGGCCAGTGGGATCCCCAGGATGAGATAGGGGATGAGGTAGGAAAGGGGCTGGGGGAGGGCAGTGGGACATTGGTCCCTGGTCAGGGTCCCCAGGTCCTGGGAGCATCAGTGATGAGGGTGGGTAAGGCCTGGGTCAGATCAGGGGCCCACAGCCATATTCCCTGTAGACACCAGATCGTGCCCTTGAGCCAAGGGGCTAAACCTGGGGCTGGGAGCAGGGTGAAAGGTCTCCATGCTGAGCTCACCCAGCTGACCAACCCCTCTGTGTTCTCTCCCATTAGCCTGATTTTTGGGTCATTGACCATCATGACCGGCGTCATTGGGGTCATCTTGGGGGCAGAAGCTGCGAGGAGGTACAAGAAAGTCATTTCAAGAGCTGAGCCCCTCATCTGCGCCTGCAGCCTGCTCGCCACGGCCCCCTGCCTCTACCTGGCTCTCGTCTTGGCCCCGACCACCCTGCTGGCCTCCTATGTAAGTGAGAGCCTCTATGGAGGTGGGGACAGGGTGGGGGGATGAGGAACTCCCATTTCCACGGCTCACACTGTGCCCGGCCTTTACACACATTATGTTGATCTCTCCTTCTGGGTAGAGCTTATCCCCGTTTTGCAGATCAGCAAAGAGAGGCTGGACGTGGTGGCTCACGTCTGTAATCCTAGCACTTTGGGAGGTCAAGGCCGGCCTGGCCAATATGGTGAAACCCCGTCTCTACTAAAAATATAAAAAAATTAGCTGGGGCATGTGTGGACTGGTAATTCCCAGGCTGCTCGGAGGCTTGAGGCAGGGGAGGAAGCTTGGAACCCGGGAGGCGGAGGTTGCGGTTGAGCTTGAGGATTGTTGGCTGCAACCCACGAGGCCTGGGCAACAGAGCACGACTCCATCTTGCGGGGGAAAAAAAGAGAGAAGCTTACCAGGAGTTCCACAGTGAGGAAGGGGCAGAACTGGGATTTGAGCCTGAGCTTTTCTGACTGTAAAAGGTGTCCTCTGAGCATTGGATTAATGTGTTAGTTTGAGAAAATAGGACTCATTTATTGCCAGGGCATATTGTGGGTCCAAGAAGAAATAGAGCAATTCTCCCCAGGTTACAGAGGAGGGAAGCAAGGCCCAGATTGGTTACGGCCAATGTGGATGCTGCTTTAAGGGCGATAATCGCGGTAATATCAAGTATTCCACATCCACATCCCATCACACCCTTTCATGGGCCTCACACTCTGGCCGTGCCAGCCACGTGGGCGCACCGCCTCCCCAGACTTTACATGTGTCCATTTCTTCCACCGAGAGCACCAGTTCGTCTTTTGTGCATCCCACAATCCTCCTTCTGCAAGACTCAACTCAAAGTCAGCTTCCTCCAAAAGCCTTCCCGGACCGCTCTATCCTCACGCCAGAATTCATGTTCCTGCTTGGGCTCAGTGCCTGTTTGGTTCCCATGAGGCACCGAGGTGTATAGGGCCTGTCCAAAGACAGGGGGCCCAAAGGGCGGGGGACCAGAGCTGGAGGGTCCCTGTGTGCAGCTGTGTCCCTGGCTCCCCAAAGCCCCAGCCCTGCCTGACCCCCAACATGGGAAAGGGCCACTGCTTCTGGGAAACTGACACCAGCCCAGCCGGAAGCAGAGGGGCTAGACCTTCCCTCCTTTCCCAGATCCATGGCCCCGGGCCCTGTGGCTGCAGACAGGGCCCATGCACGTGTGCACCAGGTTTACTGAGCAGGCCGGACTCTGGAAAAGTAAACCAGCTACGACTCCATTGTCCTCACACTAGTTTGACCGCATCTCCCACCCATGGCCAGAGCCCATCGCTTCTCCCGTCACACGCACGAACTAAACAGTCTGGTCCCATTGAAATAAAAACTTTGGCCCTGCTTCCGAATAAAGTTTCTTTTTTCTTTTTTTTTTTTTTTTTTTTTTTTTTTTTTTTTTTTTTTTTTTTTTTTTTTTTTTTTTTTTTTTTTTTTTTTTTTTTTTTTTGAGACTGAGTCTCGCTCTGTTGCCCAGGCTGGAGTGCAGTGGTGCCATCTCAGCTCACTGCAACCTCCACCTCCCAGGTTCAAGCAATTCTCCTGCCTCAGCCTCCTGAGTATCTGGGATTACAGGTGCGCGCCACCATACCCAGCTAATTTTTGTATTTTTAGTACAGATGGGGTTTCACCATGTTGGCCAGGATGGTCTTCAACTCCCAACCTTGTCATCCACCCGCTTCAGGTTCCCAAAGTGCTAGGATTACAGGTGTGAGCCACTGTGCCTGGCCCCAAATAAAGTTTCTATCCAGGACCAGAAAATTGCCTTGGGAAGAGGTGGGGCTACAGTCGGGTTTTGTTCTCCTTGCTCCATCTTCCACCCCACATCCCTGACATCCCCCCTCCCCTCGCAATTCTGTCCCCTCCAGAGATGAGCAGGCAAGGGAGGATGACAGATAACAGGCCGAGTACTGTCTGTATCCGGAGTTGTTTTCACCCTCTGTCAGTGTCCCCCATGTGGCAGATGCTCAGAGGCGGGGTGTGGGGGGCCTTTGTGGGCATTTTGGGGTCTCTGGCCCTGGTTTTTACTTTGCCCAATTCCCTGATGCAAGGGTTGCCTTTCCAGCCAGGCCGTCTTGCCTGGGTGGGCAATCCTGCAAGGGGCCCCCTCTCATGAGCACCGTGTCTCCCTCCGTGGTGTCCATCTGACCCCTGGAGGAGGTCAGGAAGGGAGGCCTCCGCCACTGCCGCCCTCTCCCCTCCCACGACACTGCAGACTACTTCATCTGGCATCCCCACCTGCTGACTTCCCTGGGGGGAGTCAGGCCCCAGGGTCCATTCTCCCCAAATGCCAGATGACATGCGTCTGGGTGTCCTGAGGACGTCTTCTGTGCACGCCCCTCAGGCTGTCCTGGTATAGGAGGCTTCGCGTTTAGCCAGCGTCCAGCCAGGGAGAAAGGGCAGCTTCCTTCTTGGCAAGCACTGCCCTCTGTTAGCTTGAGTGTCATCTGAAGCCCCTCACTCAGCTTAAGAGTGGAACTCTTGGCCGGGCGCAGCGGCTCACGCCTGTAATCCCAGCACTTTGGGAGGCCGAGGCAGGTGGATCACGAGGTCAGGAGATCAAGACCATCCTGGCTAACATGGTGAAACCCCGTCTCTATTAAAAATACAAAAAATTAGCCGGGCGTGGTGGCGGGCACCTGTAGTCCCAGCTACTCGGGAGGCTGAGGCAGGAGAATGGCGTGAACCCAGGAGGCGGAGCTTGCAGTGAGCTGAGATCGTGCCACTGCACTCCAGCCTGGGCGACAGAGCAAGACTCCGTCTCAAAAAAAAAAAAAAAGTGGCACTCTTTATTCATTATTTATTAATTCTTTTAGAGATGGGGACTCTCACTATGTTGCTCTGACTGGTCTTGAACTCCTGGGCTCCAGCAATCCTCTTGCCTCAGCCTCCTGAATAGCTGGGACTACAGGCGTGCACCACCACACCCGGCTAATTTTTAGTAGAGATGGGGTTTCGCCATGTTGCCCAGTCTGGTCTCGAACTCCTGTCCTTGAGTGATCTGCCCATCTCACCCTCCCAAAGTGCTGGGATTACAGGCGTGAGCCACCGCACCTGGTCAAGAGCGGAACTCTTTCAATAAATCCTCCCCCGAGCATGACTTCTATGCAAGCGGGCGGGGGCCACGTAGGATAGCCCCGTTCTCTCGCCGAGTCCTGAAGGTGTGCTGGCACCTCTCTTGAGGTGTGGGCACTGCTCATCCCTTGTTCTCAGCCTCGGGTCTCTGCGGAAATTCCTGAAGACTAGAAAGTCTTGTCATTCTCTTCTGCACATGCTCTTATTTAGTCCTCTCAACGGACACTTTTGTGAGGAAGGTTTTTTCTTTTCATATTTTCTTTTATTTTTTGAGACAGAGTCTCTCTCTGTTGCCCAGGCTGGAGTATGGTGGCACGATCTCGACTCGCTGCAACCTCCACCTCTCAGGTTCAAGCAATTCTCCTGCCTCAGCCTCCCCAGCAGCTGGGATTATAGGCACCTGCCACTAATTTTTTTTTTTTTTTCCCAAGACAGGGTCTCTCTCTGTCACCCAGGTTGGAGTGCAGTGGCACAATCTCAGCTCACTGCAAGCTCCACCTCCCGGGTTCAAGCAATTCTCCTGTCTCAGCCGTCTGAGTAGCTGGGATTACAGGCCTACGTCACAACGCCTGGCTAATTTTTGTATTTTTAGTAGAGATGGTGTTTCGCCATTTTGACCAGGCTAGTCTCGAACTCCTGACCTCAAGTGATCTGCCTACCTCGGCCTCCCAAGGTGCTGGGGTTACAGGCATGATCCACCACACCCAGCCACACTTATGCCACTTGACAGGTTGGAAAACTGAAGCCCATAGATAGAATCAGGTAAATAGTGGGACAGACAAAACTCCAACACATGGCTGGGTGCAGTGGCTGACATCTGGAATCCCAGTATTTTGGGAGGTCAAAGTGAGAGGATCACTTGAGCTCAGGAGTTAGAGACCAGCCTGGACAACATAGCAAAACCCTGTCTCTACAGAAAATTAAAAAATTAGTTGGGCGTGGAGGCACATACCTGTAGTCCCAGCTACTGGGGAGGCTGAGGCTGGAGGATTGCTTGAGCTTGAGAGATAGAGGCTGCAGTGAGCTCTAATCATGCCACTGCACTCCAACCTGGGTGACAGAGCAGGACCCTGTCTCAAAACAATCAAACAACCTTCAACTTGGCTGTGACGCCTCCAAAGTCTGTGTCCTTCATAGTGCACTGAACCAGAAACAGAGCTGGGCACACCCCAGGCACTAGTAAATACCTTAATGCTTATCGACTGAGGGAGGGGACCATCACTTCTGGCTGGTGGGAGCTGATGGGGGCTGGTGGGGCCTGACCTCGCAGGGAGGCTGAAGCCCAGGCAGATGGAGGCCCCATCAAAGCTGTCCCTGTACCAGCCAGCTGGAGCTGGGGGCCCCCTGCCAGCCCTGCTTCTGCCACTGTCTTGGTTGGTTCTGGGAGGTGGCTCCTTGGCTGTGTTTCGGGGACACAGCTGCCCCCCTCCACCCCCTGCACCCTGCAGCCTGGCGCATCTCCAGAGCTGGTTGGCTCATCTAGAAATGACATTGTGTCTTGGCCGCCAAAGCCAGCTGGAGAAACTCTTCTTCAGGCCTGCCCTGGGGATTGGGACTGAGGGGCAGAAAGGCGGGCAGGGCTAGAGTGCATCCATCCTCTGGCGCTGGGAAGCTGCTGGGTCTGGCATGGTACCCACCGACGCTGAGCCTCTGTGGCCAGAACTCTAACCCTCCAGAGGTGCTGCCATCCTGCCCTGACCCCATGGCTCTGTCTGTGCCTCCGTAGAATGCTCGGATGTTCTGACCTCAGATTCAGGCTCCAGTTCCTCCTCCCCAGCAACTGTCAGTCGCGAAGCCCTTGACCTCTCCCAGGCCTGTCCTCTCCTCTCTGTCCTCTCTGCCCTTCCCTGGCTCATGCCTTGCTGTCTTTCTCCAGAACTGTTCTA